CTTGGGGCTGGCACCGGACCTGCACGGCATGCGTTCCCAGGACTTGAACCTGGGTCCTTACATTTGCCAGGCACGTGCTCCCCAGCCCTTCTGCCCCAAGTTTAAAAAGTAGTACAGTAGTTCCTCAAGTTAAATATAGAGTCATGAGATGGAACTCTACTTCTAGGCATTTAGTCGGTAGCCCCTCTTATTTGGAGTTTCACTTTCTGAGGTTTCATTTCCTGTGGTCAATTGTCATCCTAAAATAATACATGACAAATTCCATCATTAAACAATTTATAAGTTTTAAATCACTGTAATTGTAGTGTGTTGGTACAATTGCTCTGTTATAGTTTTTTATTACTAACCCTTTTGGTGATTTAGGCATTGCCTGGCATGTGGGAAGCTACCCACTATCACTGAAAACTATGTGTGCAAAACAACTTGTAGGGAAAAAAAAGGGGGGCAGGGAGATGGCTCAGTGGAATAAGTGCTTCCCTGGCAAGCACATGGGCCTGAGTTCAATCCCTGGTTCTGCCAAAAAAAAAACCCCAAAAAACAACAACTTGTAGGGGGCGGGGAGATAGCTCAGTAGAATAAGCGCTCACTTGGCAAGCACAAGATCCTGAGTTCAGTCCCCAGTACTGCAAAACAAAACAAAACAAACAAACAAACAAAAACCCCCGTGCACCCAAGGGCCCCTGACAGCATGATTTATAATAGCTAAGAAGTGGAGAGAACCCAACCATGCATTAGTTGCTGGAATAAGGTGTCGTATATCTGTACCATGGAATATCATCTGGCTATAAAAAGAATATAGGTGCTGGGGAGAGAGCCCAGAGGCATAAGCATCTACCTGGCAAGTGCAAGGTCCCGAATTCGATCCCCAGAGACACGGGCATGCTGTGCTAGTCCTGGAACTAGGTGTGGTGGTGCATGCCTATAATCCCAGTACCCGGGGGATTGAGGCAGGAAGTTTGCTGAGAGTTAGAGACCAGCTGGGGCTACAAAAAGTGAGCACAAGGCCAGTCTGAACTGTGTAGCGAGATCCTGTCTCAAAAAAGAAATATGGTATTGGTCCTTGTGATAGCGTTCATGGCTCTTCAAAACATTAAGCTGTTTGAAAGAAGCCAGGCACATAAAAGGTCATATATTGTGTGATCCCAGTTCTATGAAATCTCCACAACAGGCAAGTCCGTAGATATAGGAAGTAACTTCCTGGTTGCTGGTTGCTGTGGAAATGACTGCTAATGAGCATTTGTTTCTTTTTTGGTCAATGAAAATATTCGGATGGTTGCACAACTCTGTGAATGTACTAAAGAACACCGGCCAGGTGGGGTAGTGCACTTGGGGCTGAGGCAGCAGGACTGCTGCAAGTCTGAGGCCACCCTGAGCTGCTTAGCAAGACCCTGTCTCTAACAAACAAACAGACAACAACATCAAAGCTGCTACATTTTTCACCTTAAAAGGGTGATTTTTTTTTTTTTTTTTTGGGGTTTTTGAGACAGACTCTCACTATGTAATCCAGCCTGGCCTTGAATTCGCTATGTAGCACTCAGCCTCCTGAGTGCTGGGACTGCAGGCATAGGCTCCAGCACCCTGAGCCACCTTGCTTTTAATATCCTCCTGGCCGGCGTGTCCTCTCCTCCTTGCCACAGCTTCTGCCCTGGTCCAGCCCACCTCTCCCCTGAGTCTCTTCCCCATTTCCTCCCTGGGCTTCTGGCTGCCCTGCTTACCCTCCCTGATCTACTGTTCTCCACATAAAAGCCAGTGAAATTCCCGAAGTGCACTCCGCCCTTTAAGCCTGACCTCTCCCTCATGGTACCCGGCCTTGGCCCATGTGCTCCCTGTGTCCCCACTGAACTAAGTCCTGCAAATACAGGGCAGGCACAGGGTGGCCACTCCATCTGGAACTGGGGTGGCCAACAGGGCAGCCTCCTCGGGAAGTGATATTTTGGTGAGGGCACCAGGCAGGCACTGAGGACAGGGGAGGCCTCCGAGGCAGGGCAGCTGCTGTCGAAGCCTTGGGCCGGGCCGGGGTTTGCGGGGTGGTGGAGGCTGGAGAGCAGCTGGAAGGGCGCCAGAGCTCCTGGGCTCAGGGCTCAGGGCTCATCCGTGTTGTCCCCTAGATGAGCGGGAGGCCGTGCAGAAGAAAACGTTCACCAAGTGGGTGAACTCGCATCTCGCCCGCGTGGGCTGCCATATCGTCGACCTCTACTCTGACCTCCGGGATGGCTTCGTGCTCACGCGGCTCCTGGAAGTGCTGTCCGGGGAGCAGCTGGTGAGCGGCTGAGGGGCTGGGACGGGCATGGGGGTAAGTGGGTGTCCTCAGGCGGAGGGCATGAGGAGGGCGAGGGGGATTAAGCTAGGGGGTGGGGCTCTTACAGGAACCCAGGTTATAAGTAGCCAAGGGCAGAAAGCTTGGCGTGGTGGCATTACGCCTGGATTCTGGGAGGCCAAGGCAGGAGGATCGAAAGTTTGAGCCTAGCCTGGACAATTTAGCGATTTAGTGGGGCATCTCAAAAATAAGAAAAGGTTGGAGAAGGGGCCGGGGAAACGGCTCAATAGAATAACTGCTTCCCTGGGAAGCTCCAGGGTCTGAGTTCAATCCCCAGTTCCGTAAAAAAAAAAAAAAAAAAATTTAAAAAAAGCAAGAAAAGGTTGGAGATCTAGCTCTGAGATGCAAAGGCCCTGGGTTCAATCTCCAGAACAAAAGAAAAAGAAAGGAAAAGAAAAGAGAAGAAAAAAGAGAAAATAAAGGAAAGGAAAACAAGAGAAAGAAAAAGAAAAGCAAGGCAGATTTTTTTTTTTTTTAGGAACCAGGGATTGAACTCAGGCCCTTACGCTTGCCAGGGAAGCGCTTATTTGAGCCATCTCCTTGGCCTTGCAAGGCCGAAGTTTTGAAAGGGATCAGTGGTGGGGCGGGGCACTAGTGAAAGGGGCGGGGCCTGTCTGTGGTGTGGGCGTGGCTTGTGAGGCTTCCCCACACAACGCCCCTGCTGCTCTAGCCGAGGCCCACGCGCGGCCGCATGCGGATCCACTCGTTGGAGAACGTGGACAAGGCGCTGCAGTTCCTGAAGGAGCAGCGTGTCCACCTGGAAAACGTGGGATCGCACGACATCGTGGACGGGAATCACCGGCTGACGTTGGGGCTGGTCTGGACCATTATCCTGCGCTTTCAGGTGATCCCCGAGAGCGAGCGAGCTCTGCCCAGCCCGCCCCCACGTTATTTCTCTCCTTCCAAAAGCTTTCAGGGTGAAAATGAACATAATGATGTACAACAGTTGTCTTTATCACCCAATCTCGATGATCACTATTTTTCTATTGTTTGCTCTGCCTCAGGCGCTTGCTATTTCAAACCCACAGCAGCCTAGGCATTAGGTAGCAGATAATATTACCTGTTACCTCGGTTTTAACCAGTAAGGAAACCAATAGATGAGACCTGTGCTCACGTAATGGGTGTTAACGCTCCCAGGATAGAAACAGGTGGATTTTCTTCTTCTGAGAGGGTATATCATGGTAAGAGAGTCAGAAAGTAAGTATCAAAAATAGAGGGCTGGGGAGATAATTCACTAGAATAAGTGCTTGCCTGGCAAGTGCAAGGACCTGAGTTCAATCCCCGGTTCTGGAGAAAAAAAAAAAAAAAAATCACACAGAAAAAGGACAGCTCTAATGGGAAGAATTTTTTTTTAACTTTTTTTTTTTCTGCTGTCAAATTAGAAAAGGAATTTTAAAAAGCTTTACAGGAAAGAATAGATTACTATAAAGCATTAAAAGGGAGATAAATATCAGGTTTGTGGTGTTCAGGTTTTACATGTGGTGGTCAGAAAAGGACTGTCTGGGAAGCTGGTGGCTGAGTGACATAAAAGATGAAGGGAGACCAGGTGTGGTGGTGCAGGAGGGTCACTGTGAGTTCGAGGCCAGCCTAAATGGCACAGAAAGTGAGAAAAAAAAAGGAAGGAAGGAAGGAAGGAAGGAAGGAAGGAAGGAAGGAAGGAAGGAAGGAAGGAAAAGCAAGACAAGAAGACGGTCCAGTTCCTGGTGGGGGGGGGGTGGAGTGGAGGGGGAGACACAGCAAACGCCAATGCCATGGGCGGAAAATCGCTTAGCAGAGAGAGCTGGAGGCATGGGAGGAAGAACAGCGCGGCAGGGAACAGGAGGCAAAGCTGAGGCTTTCGGAGCACCTAGGTGGCCCGTGCTGAGTGGTTTGGATTTCGTCTGTCTGCACTAGGAGAGAGTGGAGAATTTTATCAAAGGGCGTTGCATAGTCAGACTTCGGAGGATTCTCTCTGGCTGGAAGGTGGTCACCACATTTGGGGGCTGAGAACCCCCACGCCATCCTAAAGCTGCCCTCTCTCACACACACCCCCACCAGTGCCACAAGGGTCGGTGTCCCCCAGCCTTGAGCCCTGCTGACCTCCGTAGCCATGTTTTGTGCCTTCACAGATTCAGGTCATTAAAATTGAGACTGAGGACAACAGGGAGACTCGCTCGGCCAAGGATGCGCTGCTCTTGTGGTGCCAGATGAAGACAGCTGGGTGAGCACCCCTTCCTCACAGGCAGGGGGGCCCCCAACTCTTGGGTTTCCTTGTGGGACAAGAGCTTAAAGAGGAGCTCATGGCCTGTGTTGAAATTCCTGTCTGAATTAAACGGGCAAATAAAGTGTGTCCTGAGACTGTAGTGGCTTGGGAGAACAGGCCCAGGTGGGACAGGTGTGGGACAAGGGGGAATGGCGGGGGGGGGGCAGGGAGTATGCAGGGGCTTTGTCTGATTCATCTTTCTGGCAGGCTGAGCATCTGATGTATCTGTTTCTCCATGTGTTTGTCTTTCTCTCTGTCTGCTTTTCCTTCTTCCTGCTTGCCCCTGGTCCCACCCACACTTCTTCCCTCCCTCTCTTGTTCTCTCCTTTCTCTGCCCATCTTTGTTTGTGTTTCCTCCCTCTCCCCTTCCTCTCCTCCTTCCCTTTGTCTTCTCTCCCCTCTCCTATCTTTCACCTTCTCTCCACCTTTACCTATTGTTCCTCTCTATCTCTACCCACTCATCCATCCATCCATCCATCCATCCATCCATCCATCCATCCTTCCTTCCACACCCTCCCTTCTCTCCCCTTCTCTCTTGACTCTTCCATCTCTCTCTCTCTCTCTGCTCCCTCTCCCCATGGTCAGTTATCCGGAGGTAAACATTCAGAATTTCACCACCAGCTGGCGGGATGGTTTGGCCTTCAATGCCCTCATTCACCGGCACAGGTACCAACTGGCCCCAGCAGCACAGCCCTGCCCTGCTCGCCCCCTGCCCTGTGTCCCCACAGCTTCACGCCTGTACAGGTGCTGTGCCCAGATGACACACATAGGGGACCCTTCCCTTTACCTCTCCACACACATGCACACTGTTTTGCTCACACTGGTGCCCTTCATATTTTTACACAGGTGTGCACATGCACACAGACTCCTGTCCAGGCCACATACCCTGTGCACACTCAGACACACGTACATCCACACGTGCAGTCTGCACCCATTGTCTGCTACTTAGATGTATTGATCCCCTCAGGATAGGAAGACTGCACCCCAAGGGTCTTTCCTTGCTGGTAGATATGCAGCCCCTGCTGTCTGAAAGTCCTACCTCCCGAGGTGACCTAGGGGCCCCCTTCCCAGCTTCTTGCACAATCACATGTTTCTACCTCAGGACCTGGTGCCAAACTGGCTGAGGCTGGGCAGCCAGAAAGATGACACCCTTGTCCCGATTACCCATGTGACAGATTGGAACAACTGAGGCCTGGAGACTGGCAGGGACATGCTCAGTTGTGGCAGAAGCCAGCAGCCAGCTTCTCCTGCAGTGGGCTGTATACACTTGTATGCACACGGCGAGACCTACACCCAGCCTGTCGTGTGGAAACCCACAATCTATAACCAGGAGCATGCAAATGCTAGCTGACATTTTCCACGTGCTTTCTATGCACCAGGCATTGTCCTAGGGCTTTCCACTGAGTCATTTATTTATTTTTATTTATATTTATTTATTTTTCGAGACAGTGTCTTGCTGCATAGTTCAAGCTGATCCTGAATTCAGGCAGGCACCCCGTGGGTGCAGCTCCTGCAAGTACCCATGGGTGCACAAGGCTGACTCACACACCTGTGCACAAGGCCTGGTGATACACACACACACACACACACACACACACACACACACACACACGTGTTCCCAGAAGCCCATGTGCCCGTCCTGCTCACACTGCAGATGCGCACGGCTCAGCCCCTTGGCCACTGCACAGCTTTGCCATGGGTGGCGGTGGCATTATGCCCCCTCTTGCTCTTCCCCTGGTGGGGCTCAGACAAGGATGTGCTTTGGCCCATTTGGTCTCCGGCCCTGGAGCCTGTCTGTGCCTGCCCGCTCTGTGCCCCTGCCCAGGCCCGATCTCGTGGACTTCAACAAACTGGCCAAGTCTAACGCCAACTACAACCTGCAGAGAGCCTTCCGCACAGCGGAGCAGCATCTGGGGCTGGCACGGCTGCTGGACCCTGAAGGTGAGCCCCGTGTGGTCCCAGCCTGGCCCCCCCTGGTCCCCTGGCTGCTCCAGATCCCAGCTCCCTGCTTCCTCCTCACCAGCAGCTCTCTACTCCCCAGCCCCCAGCCCCACTGCCATCGATGCCTGGCATCATCGTCCTTCTCCTTGACATTCCCACTCTTAACCGTCTCCCCAGGTCTCAACTCATTCTGCTCCAGCCCAGCCTGGCCCCTGCCCCTCCCCCAAACACAACACCATTTCTTGTCCATCTCAGGCCCCGTGCTAGGATCATCCTCAGCATTGTCCTCCTCCCTAACCACGGCTCCACAGCTCCATTCCTGGGCCCTCCCTGACCCTGTACCCTATTCTATATTTCCATCCCTGCCCGCAATTCTGTATTCACCCCCAGCACCCTTCCTATTTCCAGTCTATTCCTGTTTGGTCTGGCCTGTACCTGCCTTCAGCCTCATTTCCAATCTGTGATCGCCTCCAGCTCCCCAACCCTGCACCCTAAAGGACAGCAGCTCCCTTTTTCTGAGCTTCTGCTGTGAGCCAAACACACAGCTGGGAATGTTGTTGCAGCTGTTCCCTTTCGTCCTCACAGTGACCTGGCTGGGTAGAATTTAGCCATCTTGTTTTAAAGAGATGGAAATGAGAGCACAGGAAGGCGAAGTCGCTTGTCCGGTAAACTCGATCGATGACCCTAGAACTCCGGGTCTCAGTGCATCTTCTGCCCAGCCTCTGATAGCTGTATTCTGTGCTCAGTGCCTGGCACATAGTAGGTGTCCACAAATGTCAGTTTCATGAAACAGTGAAGAATGAGGGCCAAGAATAATATTGTGGCCAGACATGGTGGCATATCCCTGTGTCAGCTCAGCTCTGAGAGGCTGAGGCAGGAGGATGCCAAGTTCAAGCCTAGTCTGGGCAACTTGGCAACTTAGCCAGACCCAGTATCAAAACAGAAAGCCAAAACAGCTGGGCATATTACTCAGGGCAAAACTTCTGGGTTCAATTTCCAATACTGCCAAAATAATAATAGTAATAATAATAACAACAACAACAATGATGTTGTACATTCAGTGAGCAACTTATTTGTTTATTCATTTTTTTAAAATTTCTTTTTGTGGTACTGGGGACTGAACTCAAGATCCTGCACTTGCCAGGCAAGTGCTTATTCTACTGAGCTATCTCCCCGGCCCTCAGTGAGCAATTTAAATGAATCAAAATTTATTTGTTGAGGGCCTCTTTCCTCTGCCAATCTGTTCTCTCAGATACTCAGTGTCCCCGGGAAGCAGGAAATACAGTTATCCTTACTGTAGCAATGGGGAAGCTGATGTTCAAAGAAGTTAGATTTATTTTGTAACCATCTGGATTAATGGGAGCAAGGGGTTGAGCTGAGCTTCAAGCATGCGATACCGTGAAGGCACCGTCTTGGTTTTATTTATTTTATTTATTTATTTTTTTGGCAGAATTAGGGATTGAGCTCAGACCCTAGTGCTTGCCAGGGAAGCGCTTATTCTACTGAGCCACGTCCCCGGCCCCCGTCTTGGCTTTAGATCTTATGCACACCCTGTGCACGTGCACAGTGGACGCTTACTGAGCTCCTACTCTGTGCATTAGGAAAGGCAAGAATCCTGTTTTTCAGAAGACAAGGAGAGTTGGTCACAAGGATCTCAGTCTCTAGATAATGACTTAATCACTTTACTGAATATGTCATTACAACTTGTGATACCTTCTGGGAAGAAAATAATGAGATCGGAAGAGACAGACTAATGTGAGGAGACCAGGTCTAGGCGGGGTGAACAAGGAGGCTTAACTGGGGAAATCTGGCTTGAATGCTGATGTGAGTTAAGCATACAGGAGAAGGAATAGAGTTCCAGACAGTGAAAACAGCATATGCAAAGGCCCTGAGGCAGAAAGAAGAATGGGGTGTTTGGGAAAGTACATTTGTCTATGGTTTCTACATGTCAGGCACTGTTTAATCCTATAAGGCAGATCCCCATCCAGCAGGTAAAACAAATATAGAAAGTGTCTTGCCCAAGGTCATACAGTTACGAGGAGTCACCCTCATGCTCCCCTACTCCCCTTGCCCCCCAGATGTGAACATGGAGGCCCCAGATGAAAAATCCATCATCACCTATGTGGTCTCTTTCTACCACTATTTCTCCAAGATGAAGGCCCTGGCTGTGGAGGGGAAGAGGATTGGGAAGGTAGGAAGAGTCGAAGAATGGGATAGATGGAAACCTGGGAGCCTGCTGGGTTGTGTGGAGGCTGACCCCAGCTTCCTGGCCGGGCAGGTGCTGGACCAGGTGTTGGAGGTGGGGAAGATCATAGAGCGCTATGAGGAGCTGGCGGCCGAGCTGCTGGCCTGGATCCACCGCACCATTGCCCTCATCAGCAACCAGAAGTTCGCCAACTCGCTGAGTGGGGTGCAGCAACAGCTTCAGGCTTTCACAGCCTACTGCACCCTGGAGAAACCCGCCAAGTGAGACCCTGCTCAGGAGGAGAGTGGTGGGGGCAGACTCGGGCATGGGGGCTCCTGAGCCGGTGTGTCCCTTCAGGTTTCAGGAGAAGGGCAACCTGGAGGTGCTGCTCTTCAGCATCCAGAGCAAACTCCGGGCCTGCAATCGTCGCCTCTTCGTGCCTCGGGAGGGCTGTGGCATCTGGGACATAGACAAGGTTGGTTTGGGGATGGAGAGGAGAAGCGCTGTTGCTCTGTGGAGTTGTACAGGTTGTGCCCTGCTCAGGGGAGCCTTTTGCCTCTTCCTGCTGGCCATTCCTGACAGTTGCATTGCAACGTTTTTGCTCACTTCTTTTTTTTTTTTGCTCATTTTCCTAAAGGTTCTGTATATACAGTGGGTGGTCTCAGAGATGTCAGGGCCATTAAACAGTGGGGAATTGTTGGAATCTGTTTCCTCAACCCCCCCAGGCATGGGGTCAGCTGGAGAAGGCTGAGCACGAGCGGGAGGCTGCCCTGCGGGCTGAGCTGATTCGACAGGAGAAGCTGGAACTACTGGCCCAGAGGTTTGACCACAAGGTGGTTATGAGGGAGAGCTGGCTGAACGAGAACCAGCGGCTGGTCTCCCAGGTACAGCAGTAGGGCCTGGCTTCAGGGAAAGGGAAGGAGGGGGGGCAGGGCTGGTGGCCATGGACTAGAAATGGAGACGTGAGCTCCTAAGCAGCAGGGAAGGGTGTTGGAGTCTGCTAGGTGACAAGTGAAGTGGGAAGGGTGTCCTCCATAATTGGTCTCCTAAGTGAATGGCAGGTGAGGGGCGTGCGCCTGATCTCCAGGCACCAAGGAGATGAGGCTCTGTCCAGGCTACTAGAGAGGGCAGAATTACTGTCTTCAGAAACAGGGGAGTGTTTTGTCTCATGTGACAAGGGAGGCTGTGTTTGGTGTAACTATGAGGATAGAATTAGTTTCCCAAGTAACAGGAGATGGTGAATGAACCTTATTCCCAGTCTCCAAGACAATGGAAAGAGGGGGCCTGTCTCTTGGGTAACCAGTATAGGGTTAGAGATATAACCAGGGAAGGTGAGTCTGGTCTCCAGGGTAACAGAGAAAGTGGGTTGGTCTCCAGGGTAACGGGGAGGTGAGACTGGTCTCCAGGGTAACAGGAGAAGGGGATACGATTTCCAGAGTTACTGGGGAGGGTGGGACTGGTCTCCAAGGTAAGTAGGGTATGGACTCAGTCTTCAGGGTGATGGATGGAAGAGTGTTAGGGTCACTCAGAGTCACGGTAACAAGGGCATCACTGGGGCATCACGGTGTCTGTGGCTTGTGCTACCCAGGACAACTTCGGGTATGAGCTGCCAGCGGTTGAGGCAGCCATGAAGAAGCACGAAGCCATTGAGGCAGACATCGCAGCCTATGAGGAACGGATACAGGGTGTGGCGGAACTGGCACAGGCTTTGGCAGCTGAAGGCTACTATGATACCCGGCGTGTGGCTGCTCAGCGTGACAGCGTCCTGCGCCAGTGGGCCTTGCTGACCGGACTAGTAGGTGCCCGGCGAAGCCGGCTTGAGCAGAACCTGGCCCTGCAGAAGGTGTTCCAGGAGATGGTCTACATGGTGGACTGGATGGAAGAGATGCAGGTGGGGACCAGAGCAGGGGTGCTGCAGGTGTGGGGTCCAGGGAGGACTGGGAGGGACATAGACCCCCAACAAGTTGACAAAGAGGTAGAAGATGAGGTAGAAGGGAAGAGACAGAAGGAGTTAAGGGGCCAGGGATATAGCCTGGTGGTGCAGCACCTGCCTGGGAAGCAGGTGACCCTAGAGAGGGAGTCAGCAAGACTCTGAGAAAGATATGGGAACAGAAGAGAGAGTCAGAAAAAGAAAGACAAGCTGGGCATGGTGGTGCATACCAGTAATCCAGTTACTCAGGAGGCCAAGGCAGGAGGTTCACAAGTTTAAGCCCAGCCTGGGCAACCTAGTGAAACCCTATCTCAAAGTAAAAATGAAGGGATGTAGCTAGGTAGTAGAGGACTTGCCTAGAAAGTACATGACCCTGGCCTCAATCCCCTAGGATAGGGGGAGAGAGAGGGAGGGGAGAAAAGGGGGATGGGTAGGGGAGGGAGAAAGGGCTAGAGAGTGACAGTTTGAGGAAGAAGACAAATTAGAGATAGAAAGCCAGAGAGACACATACAAAGTTGTCATTGGAAATCCCTGTGCCTACACACAGGCAGATGAAGTCTGTCTGAGAAAGGGAGAGCCCTACCAGGGAAAATGGATACTGAGAGGGAGACAGGAAAGATGGATGCAGAGAGAACGGGGATGCAGAGGCTGGAGCAGAGATGCAGATGGGCAGGGCACAGAGGGATGGAGAGGGGTGGAGATGAAGACGGACAGAAGTAGGCCCAGAAACGTGAGACCGTGAGAGATGGACACATTCAGAGGCAGGGACAGAAGGGGACATACTGGGAAGACACTGGGGCGAAAGCTGAGGGTCCAAGAAGGTGACCGGTCTGGGCAATGCCAGGGGCGGGGTGTGCTCAGTGCTGCCCTCCTGCCACCCCAAACCCGCAGGCTCAGCTGCTGTCCCGGGAGTGTGGGCAGCATCTGGTGGAGGCAGACGACCTGTTGCAGAAGCACGGGCTGCTGGAGGCAGACATTGCAGCCCAGAGCGAGCGCGTGGAAGCTCTCAACGCTGCGGCCCTGCGTTTCTCCCAGTTGCAGGGTGAGTTGGACAGGGATGTGGGGCAGGATTTCTCAGGACTGGTGCTAGTAGAGGCAAGGATGACTCCGGAGACAGCAGGAACGTGTCACCTCCCTGTCCTTGGAGCCTCTAGGCTGAGGCCCAGATCACAGCGCACTTAGTAAATCATGGGGAGAATTAGTGACCCCTCAACTTCTTCCTGTTTGAGATACTACAGTATCTAGGTCCTGTTTATGAGCATTTATGCACCAAGCCCCTCACAATTCAATCTCAGTGAATATCAATTAAAAATTGCATAAGGAGCAGGGGATGTAGGACAGTGGTAGAATGTTTGCCTAGCATGTACAAGGCCTTGAGTTTGATCCCTAGCACTGGTATAACAGAAAACCCACAGACTGGGTGTGGTGGCACCTGCCCTAATTCCAGCACTTGTGAGGCTGAGGCAGGAGCATCATGGTAAATTTGAGACCAGCCTGGCCTATGAAGAGAGCTCAAGACCAGCCTGAACTGCATAGCAGGACACTATGGAGACAGACAGACAGACAGACAGACAGATGATTGGCTTATGGAATTAAAATGTCCATGGAGAGACAGTTTGACTTCAGGCATGGCTGGGTCCAGGAATAGTTCAGTGATCATTTTCATTTTATTTTTTCTGATATTGGGAATTGAACCCAGGACTTATGTGCTGAGTTACATTACCAGACTTTTTTTTTTCTTGGGGGGGTGTCTTTTTTTTTTTAATTTTTTTTAAATTTGTGTGTGTGTGTGCGCGCGCAATGCGCGCGGGACCAGCTCAGCCCACCAGGGGGCGGGGCTGGCTGGCATGTGGTGCTGGGGCATTGAACCGCGGTCCCTGTGCTTTGCTAAGCTTGTTCTAAGTAGGTGCTTTAGACCACTGAGCCATCTCACCAGCCCTGGGAGGTGTCTTTTTGAGGGTCTCACTATGCAGTTTAGGCTGGCCTTGAGCTCTCTTTGTAGGCCAGGCTGGTCTTTTTTTTTTTTTTTTTTTTTAATTTTACTAAGAAATATGAATGAGACAGTTTCAAAGCTGATGAATAGGACAGTTTTGATAATCAATACATTGTACATTGTTATCTTCTTAGTGGTTATCCATAGTACAAGAAGCAGACAGGATATTCTGTGCAAACACTGTTAGTACACCTCTTTCTTCTCATTGAATTAAGCGAAAGTAGCTGTAAATTTATCCTATTTTGTATATATAAATACAAAATGATCTTTCCTTTGTATCCCCTTTTTCTTGTTTAGTCCTGTCAGAGATGAATATTCTATTGGCATCTAAATACTAAGGTGTTTGAATTCAGCTAAACAATCCAACACTGTCTAGCAGTCTATGGTATTAGTGGGTTATCCTCAGAAGTTAATTGACTTGAGCCTTTTACAGCTCATTGTATTGATGTGGATTTACTTTACATACCTCCCTTTTTACTTTTCTGCTGGATGGTTAAGACCAAGATAAAGCAAGACCTATATAACAAGAAATGTAACTTTTGTATCTGATAAGGTCAGTCAAGTTCCTTCAGGATTTATCCTGTAGCCCTGTACCGCATTTTGTAGATCCTTTGTCAGTGTCAGCCATGAGGATGAGTCACAGCAAATTGGTCAAGCAATGGCTTGACCAATTTGCTCTCTGTGAAAACCTGGGAGAATGCTTTTTCTCTCCATGTGACTCTCCCCAGGCACACTATACATCATCGATCACATTCCTCTGTGGCTCCATAATCTCCTTGATCAGAGAATTTGGAGCACAACTGAGTTACATGATGTTACAATACAGGTTCTCCTATGTCCCAAGTCTTCACTGACCTTGAAAGGCTAGGGCCAAAATGTTGGCTGACCTTGCAGCCCTTCCTTTTCTCCAATTTTGATCTGCTAACTTAGGTTGTTAACCCTTCAGAAGAGAAGCTTATTATTAACCTGCAATATATGCAGTTCGGTTTACCCTATCTGTCTAAATATCAAACCCAGGCTGATCTTGAGCTCGCAATGATCCTCCTGTCTCAGCCTACCAAGTGCTGTGTGCCACCACACCCAGCCTTCCCAGACTTTTAAAATACTTTATATTTTTATGTATTTGAGACTGGGTCTAAGTCTCTAAATTGTCCAGGCTGGTTTTAAACTCGTGACCCTCCAGCCTCAGTTTTCCAACGTGCAAGGATTGTAGATTCAGTGCTCCCTCTAAGGCTCCATCTGTCTCTGTTACTATAGTCACTGTGAGTGTTACTGTTGGACATTCCCTCCCAGCCCTATAACAGACCCAAAAGGAAACAAACAGGTCCCTTTTTCCTAATAGTTCTGACAAATGTTCTAAGGAAAGCTTTCATTGGCCCATTGCAGTGTCCGTCTCCATTGCTTAGCCAATCACTGTGGCCCCTACAGCATGCTGTGATCTCTCTTTTTAAAAAATTTATTTATTTTATTTATGTGTGTGTGTGTGTGGCCAGTGCAGCCCACCTGGGGGTGGGGCTGGCTGGCATGTGGTGCCGGGGGATTGAACCGCTGTCCATGTGCTTTGCTAAGCTTGTTGTAAGTAGGTGCTTTAGACCACTGAGCCATCTCACCAGCCCCTAAGAGGATTTTTTTTTTTTTTTGCGGAACTGGGAACTGAACTCACGCCCTCGCGCTTGCCAGGCCAGCGCTTATTCTACTGAGCCATCTCCCTGGCCCCCCATGCTGTGATCTCATTGGCCACACCAATGATTTTCCCACCCTATGTCCAAGAGTGAGGTCAGCCCCTTCCAAAGAGGAGGACTGAGAAAGAAGGGTGGGAAGCATCTACCGGAAGTAGAACAAAACCAAGACTGCCTCTAAGAAGGTTCCTACTGGCTGAGGCCAGTGCCCTCTAGCCGAAGACCACCAGAGTCCCTCTGTGGTCAGGCCCAGTTGTGCTTGCTGGCCTTCTGCACACTTTACAGAAACTCCGAGGCATCTCAGTAAGAGTGTTGCGAGGAGCTTGTCGGTAGGACTTGGGCTTATGTAGATGACCTGTGGGTTGATTCCATTTAATGGAGTGTGTTTGGGAGTGGATGGAATGCTGTCAGGACTTGGGGAGAATTAGATGACTGAACATCTTCATTCTAAGCTTTTTATTTATTTATTTATTTTAGTGGGGGAGTGTGCTGGGATGGAACCCAGGGCCACAGCGCTACAGCCCAGGCAGTCTTCATCATTTTCTCTGGAGAGCGGAGGAGCAGAGCAATGCTGTCGTGGTTACATGGTGGCATTTATTCATGTTAGCTGTGCCCAGGAGACACAGTCTTTTTTTTTTTTTTTTTTTTTTTTTTTTGAGCCAGGGTTTTACTATGCAGTTTAGGCTAGCCTTGAATTCACCCTGTACCCCTGGCTTCCCTTAAACTCATGGAGCTTCTCCTGCCTCAGCCTTCTATCGTGCAATAGGCTAGATGTCGTCCCTTGGTCATGGAGTGGCCTTGACTGGTGATGTTCTGCCGGCTTTCTGGTGCTCATCAGCTAGCTGTAGTTCTGACAGCAGTCAGGGCAGCATTTGCCTTTCTCACTAAGGAGCAACTGAGGCCCAGGCCACACAGCTTGCAAGATGATGTGGGAGTTTCTCAGCCCATGGGGCCACACTAGATCCCAAGGCAGATAGCAGAGTTGCCCTTCAAGCCCCAGTGAGCGTGTCACCTTGGCCTAGTCCTCTCTCACCCACATCACAGTGCAGGGAGACTGTTGGGACCCCCACTTTCACGTCAGGGCTCCTCATTTTCTCCTTGTGAGAGCCCAACTCCTGGGCACAACCACTAGCCCTGAGAATGCAGTGAAGTGGCCAGTGCTGGGTGCACATTACCTTGGAGACCAGAGGCAGTGACGCCTGGGGAGTGTGATCTGCTCTGTGATCCTGAGTGGCTGCTTCTTAAGTGATCTTAGACACACGTTGCTTCCCTTCTTTGAGCTTCAGTTTACCTATCTGTAAAATGGGACTGATGATACTAGCTCCACAGGGTGATTGTGAGGATTTGGTTTTTTAAATCTTTTTGAGACAGGGTCTCACTATGCAGTTCAGGCTGGCCTTGAGCTCACTTTGTAGCCCAGGCTGGCCTCAAACTTGCAATGATCCTCTTGTCTTAGCCTTCTGAGTGTTGGGATTACAGGCATGTGCCACCATGCCCATGTTGTATAGATTAAGTGACATCACTGCAGACTAAGGGATGGTCACATAGAAGCTTTGTTGTTGTAACATTTATTCAGCTGGATACCTTGGCATTTAAGTCCATATTAGTGAGTGCCCAGAACTAAATCACGCATTCTGTCTAGGGCGCTGTCCCTCACGCTTCTTCCCCCTCCCTCCAGGGAGAAATCCCTTTAGCTCAGGCCTTAGCACTCACATGCACATACACACACACACACACACACACACACACACACACACACACAAAAGCTTTACTTTTGTTTTGTTTTGTTTGAGACAGGGTTTTGACATGTACCTCAGGATGGCCTTGAACTCACTATGCAGCCCAGGCTGGACTTAAACTCATGGTGATCCTCTTGTCTTGGCCTCCCAAGTGCATGCACCACCACGCCCAGCCACAAATGTTTTCCAAAACAATATAGTACTTCTCCTTGCCTTGTGAGTTGCACTCTAACTTTGTTAATTCATTCTGTTTCACAAAAGCTGGTGGTGACCCACTAATTTCACCATTCTCTAGTCAAACCAGAAATTAAGGAGGAAAGTGAATTATTTGAGGGACAAAGGAAGTTCAGGCCACCACTGGAGTTACTAAGGCAACAGAGGAAGGGAGAGGACCCAGAAACGTGGCTTGTGAGCAGGGAAGTTTCATTTGACCTAGTTGTTTTGCACAAACGAATTTTACAGTCTAAAATGTGGATTTGAGATGCTCAATCCATTCAGCCTTCACCCACCATCACCCTGTCCTCTAGGCTATCGCTCTGGGCTCCATCCTGTCCTGGATAGTGACAGCGATGCTCTGTGATAGAGAAGTCCCTGGTCCTGCCGGCAGGGAGCTTCCAGTCCCTGGAGGAGACCTGGCAAAGGCACTCCTGAGTAGTCAGGCTGAGGTGGGGCAAGCAGAGAAGATCTGAGGGCCAGAGGTGGTACTTCCTCTAGGCTTGGATCAGGGAAGGCTGCCTGGAGGCGGGAACTATGACCTGGGACATGATGAAGGCAGACCAAGTCAGGGTAGGCAGTCCACGCCAGTTTCTCTTGGGTGAGTCACCACCAACACGGGATCCTCCCCTTCTGGCCCAGGCTACCAACCTTGCGACCCGCAGGTCATCTGCAACCGCGTGAACCACGTGCATGGCTGCTTGGCAGAGCTGCAGGAGCAGGCGGCACAGCGACGCGCGGAGCTGGAGGCCTCGCGGAGCTTGTGGGCTCTGCTGCAGGAGCTGGAGGAGGCTGAGAGCTGGGCGCGGGACAAGGAGCGCCTCCTGGAGGCCGCGGGCGGCAGCGGCGCGGCTGGCGCGGCGGGCGGCGCGCACGACCTGTCCAGCACCGCTCGCCTGCTGGCGCAGCACAAGATCCTGCAGGGCGAGCTGGGCGGGCGACGGGCGCTGCTGCAGCAGGCCCTGAGGCGCGGCGAGGAACTGACTGCGGCCGGCGGCTCCGTGGGCCCGGGCGCCGAGACCGTGCAGCTGGCGGGCCTGGCGGAGCGCTCGGCGAGTGCTCGGCGTCGCTGGCAGCGGCTGGAGGAGGCGGCGGCGAGGCGCGAGCGGCGTCTGCAGGAGGCGCGGGCGCTACACCAGTTCGGCGCCGACCTCGACGGACTCCTGGACTGGCTCCGCGACGCTTACCGCCTGGCAGCCGCCGGCGACTTCGGCCACGACGAAGCGTCCAGCCGGCGCCTGGCGCGACAGCACCGCGCGCTCACCGGCGAGGTGGAGGCGCATCGGGGGCCCGTGGGCGGCCTGCGGCGCCAGCTAGCGGCACTGGGAGGTGCCAGCGGGGCCGGGCCACTGGTGGTGGCACTGCAGGTGCGCGTAGTGGAGGCTGAGCAGTTGTTCGCCGAGGTGACTGAGGTGGCCGCGCTGAGGCGCCAGTGGCTGCGGGACGCGCTCGCCGTGTACCGCATGTTTGGCGAGGTGCACGCGTGCGAGCTGTGGATCGGCGAGAAGGAGCAATGGCTGCTCGCCATGCGGGTGCCTGATTCGCTCGATGACGTCGAGGTGGTACAGCACCGGTGAGCGCAGGCGTGGGACACGGCCGTTCCCATCCTCATGCTTGGTCTTGCATTTTTGGTTCAGCAGTTCTCATGTTGGCTCATTTTGGACCAGTGGTGCCTATCTCGGTTTGATCCTTACCCAGCTTTGTGTTAATTCTACAACTTCCCCTGCCTCTTTGAACCTCAGCTTGCCCATCTATAAAATGGGACTGATAATAGTCACCACAGGCTTGGGTCGGACAGAAAATGAGTTAATATATACAATCTCTTGGTGAATTTCTGGAAGCATTCCAAAGCCATTTACTTTTAGGAGATTTATATTCTCCTGTCCGGAAATGACCCAAGTTCCTCCACAGATGCCTCAACCCCACAGGCTCTGCACAAATGTCAATTCCAACTCTTGTCACGTTGCATCTCTCACTTGCTTGACACTTCTTCATACCCCACCCCCATGTCACGTACTGGTTTGTCTGTTCGCTGACTTGGTCATGAGTATTACTTTAGTTGTGAAGATGCTTGCTCACCTGTGCCTCTGAACATTTTATTTGTCCCTGAATTTGCCAAGTATCTGCTCAGCCTCACTGCACACAGTTACCTGGTTGTTTTAAACAAGGGAAGGCAATTCCCAGTTACAAAATATCTCCCAGGCTGTCCTGGTCGATTGGAGATGTTGGAAGAGTGAGGGTGGTGGCTGGGGACCCAGAAAGGCTGCTGGATGGGAGACTTGGGAGGGACAAACCTGGACCAGAGCAGGAGCCAAGTGGACAGGCCAGGGGGTGGGGTGCAGATGCGTTGGGGCATGTGGACCAAACTAGGCCCAGGTGTCCCGGCTTGTGCAGTGATGTCAGGGTACTTAGTGAGTGACAGCCCTAGGGAGGGATTTGGAGACAAGTGCAGGACCAAAGGGTGCAGAGTCCCTGGGTTAGGGGTAAGGATCAAGGCTGTGGGATGAGTGTGAGGGAAATTGCCTAGGGCCCAGGCTGGTGCACCAAGTAATCTAATATTGCAGCAGTCAGCTGCAGGGGAGGAGCCAGTAAGGAGCCTGAGAGGTGAGGCTGGAGCTAGAGCCAGCTCCTCAGAGCACCTCCTTCTCCCTTCTGTAGCTTCGAGAGCCTGGACCAGGAGATGAACAGTCTGATGGGCCGTGTGCTGGATGTGAACCACACGGTGCAGGAGCTGGTGGAAGGAGGTCACCCCAGCTCAGATGAAGTGCGCTCCTGCCAGGACCACCTCAACAGCAGGTAGGTGAGAGCTGGGGCCAGAAGTCCTTCCTGGTATCTCACACCAGTTCATCCCATTGTTCCCGTGCACCCTCACTCCATCATGGAAATTTTAAAAAGTGTGATTTCAAACCCCTGAGATATTAATGGCCATGTGCGAAATCGGCAAAGGCTTGGCAAAAATGGTAATAACCAGGGCCAGGGCTGATGTGCTAATAATAGGAAAACTGAGTGAGTTGTTGACTGGTTTTCCAGGAAAGCTTCATTGAGTATCCACTGACTGCCAGAAGTTTTTCCAAACACTTTACATACCTAATTTATATCCCAGTATCCCAGCTTTGCTAGACAAGCTTCTAGAATTTAGAGCTCCTTAAGAACAGTAATAGGGGCTGGTGAGATGGCTCAGTGGTCTAAAGCACCTACTTAGAACAAGCTAAGCTAAGCAAAACACAGGGACCGCGGTTCAATCCCCCAGCACCACATGCCAGACAGCCCCGCCCCCTGGTGGGCTGAGCTGGCCACACACACAAAATGAATGAATGAATGAATAAATAAATAAATAATTCTTAAAAAAAAAAAAAAAAAGAACAGTAATAAATTGCTGGGCATGGTGGCACATGCCTGAAATCCCAGCACGCTGGGAAGCCACTGCAGGAGGACTGCAAGTTTTGAGCACAGCCTGAACAACTTAGGGGGAACTTGTGTCAAAATAAAAGATATTAAGAAAGGGCTGGTGGAAGAGAGTCACCCTAGCTTAGACAAGGAGTTCCAGGAGTGCAAGGACTCCTGCCTTGGCTCAATCCCCAATTCAACAAATCTCTAAGGTCTGTTTCTGCATTCATTCTCCGGCATGTGGCCTCTGGTAAACTCTGCTGAGCACCAGGACAGAGAGAAGGAAAAGGCAAATGGCATCCTGGCATGGTGAAGGTAGGTCGACCTCAATTGTGTTACACGTGGAGAGCACTGCTCGGAGCAAATGTGTCAACGAAGTTCTGTTTTACACAGGAAGGAGCAGGGACTCGGTGAGATCAAGTGACTTTCCAGGATCTCACAGCCCCCCCACCCAGGTGGCCAGGGACTATATTTCTACCCTGCATGGGTGGGTCTCCCATGTCTAAAGGAGTCCCTGTCCTCAAGTTGCTTTCTTTCCTCCTGGATAGGTGGAACCGCATTGTGGAGCTGGTAGAACAACGCAAAGAGGAGATGAGCGCGGTGCTGCTGGTGGAGAACCACGTGCTGGAGGTGGCCGAGGTGCGTGCCCAGGTGCGCGAGAAGCGGCGAGCGGTGGAGAGCGCGCCCCGGGCTGGCGGTGCCTTGCAGTGGCGTCTCAGCGGTCTAGAAGCCGCTTTGCAAGCGCTGGAGCCGCGCCAGGCGGCCCTTCTGGAGGAGGCAGAGCTCCTGGCCGTGCGTTTCCCTATGCAAGCAACGAGGCTGCAGCAGGGCGCCCAGGAGCTGGGTGTTGAGTGGGGTGCTCTGGCCGGCGCCGCTCAGGCCTGCGGCGAGGCAGTGGCAGCAGCTGGGCGCCTCCAGCGTTTCCTGCACGACTTGGACGCTTTCCTGGACTGGCTTGTGCGTGCCCAGGAGGCAGCGGGTGGCAGTGAGGGGCCCCTGCCTGGCAGCCTGGAAGAGGCGGATGCTCTGCTGACGCGCCATGCTGCGCTCAAGGAGGAGGTGGACCAACACGAGGAGGACTATACGCGTATCGTGGCGGCCAGCGAGGCGCTTCTGGCGGCCGATGGCGCCGAGCTGGGCCCAGGCCTGGCACTGGACGAGTGGCTGCCACATCTCGAAGTTGGCTGGCACAAACTGCTTGGCTTGTGGGAGGCGCGAAGGGAAGCGCTGGTCCAGGCGCACATCTACCAGCTCTTCCTGCGCGACCTGCGCCAGGCACTGGCCGTGCTCCGCAACCAGGTGCTCAATGGAGGCGCGCGGGGTGGGGGCGGGGCGGGGGCGGGGCCTAAGGCCTACGGGGTTTGGCGGGAGCAGGGACACGCTCGAGACCACGAGTTTTTGGATTATCTAAGGTGGGTGGCAGTTGGCGGAGACCCATTTGTCCCAACAAGTGGGTCTTAGGATCATCTAGTGTATGTGGGACTTGCAACAGAATTTGAGAATCATATTGTGTTAGGTAAGGTCTTATCGAAGATGGCAGCTGGGGACAATCTCAAGTGTGTAATGCTCTTACTGGAGTGGTTCTCTGGGTTTGTGGATTAGCTGGGGAAGGAAATAAGAGTGTGAGGTTGATTTGTGTGGGTTAAGCAAGGGTCAAACAAACCTAGGGCAGATAATAAAACATTAAGATGAGAGGTAGGTAACAGGCCAAGGTGTCAGCGGGTCAGTTACTGATTGAGGATCATAGGCGGTGCGTGTCTAAAGTAACAAGTTATCTTTGTTAACATGGATTCCCTGGAGAGGGCGACTGTGTTGGAGTTTGAGGAGCCAAGTGCAGGGGTTATCTGGGGACAGCTTGTCCAGTTCAGGGTGATACTGGGAAGGGAGCCAAATTTGAGGATTTGGATGATCGATTTGGATGATTGAATCCCTGGTTTCCAGATTGTCCAAGAGGAGACACCAAGGCTTGGGGATCATCATTCAGAGGTGACCATCGGTGCTGGTCACCTAGGGAAGGCTGATCCCGCTGGGGTAGGGGATCACCGAGCTCTCCAGTCATGAGGTTGCTAAGTGTGGAGCTGATGTGGCCTTAAGAGACCCTTTTTAAACCTGTAATCCTAGCCGTCGGAGACAGAGGCAGGAAGATTGCTGTGAGTTCCAGGCCAGCCTAAATGGTGAGACCCTGAATGAGAGAGAGAGAGAGAGAGAGAGAGAGAGAGAGAGAGAGAAGACACTTTATCATCAGGGTGTTTTTGCAGAACTGGGGATTGAACTCAGGCTCTTGTGCTTGCCAGGGAAGCGCTTATTCTACTGAGCCATCTCCCTGGCTGAGACCCTTTATCATTCATACATTTTTACCAGTTAGAAAACTAACCCCCCAATTATTTATTTATTTAGTACTGGAAATCAAACTCAGGACCTTGTATTTGCCAGGCTGGTGCTGTGTCACTGAGCTGTATCTCTGGTTCTCCCCCCCCCAAAAAAAATTTTTTTTGAAAAGAAATCTAGCTGGGGATATAGCTCAGTGGTGTAAATGCCTGCCTGGCAAGCGCAAGGTCCTGAGTTGGATCCCTGGTACCGGGGGAAAAAAAAGAAAGAAAGAAAGAAAAAAAAAAAAAAGAAACAAAAACTAACCCCAGAGAGGGAAAGAAATGCCTTAAAGTCACAGCACCCCAGTTAACCAGATTTTCTTTGGGCTGGGGATGTAGTTCAGCGGCATAAGCACCCAGTTGGCAAACTCAAGGTCCCGAGTTCAATCCTCAGTACCACAAAACAACAACAGCAAAAAAAAAGAAAAAAGAAACAAACAAAAAAAAGATTTTCCTGAATGTCTGTTCTATGCCAAGAACCACCTTGTAGTTGGGCAAATCTTAGAAACCAAATCACAGAATCTTACCTTCAGGTCGCTTCCATCTGAGCACATGTATGTGCGTGTGACAGGAAACAAGCAAGTTCATGTGTGTGATATGTCAGATGTGTGCTGTGCGAGCTTTCAAAGCAGGGTAAAATAATATGATAGGGGCGGCCAGAAGCCTGGAGCAAGGGCAGGCACCAGCCAGGGGACTGCCGGGCTGCCATGCGAAGGTACCAGTATTTGCAAAGGCCCTGAGTCAGGGCCGTGCCTGGATTGTTCAGTTACAGCAGCCTGGGAAGGAGGCCGGCAGCCTCTCCCCCTGTCCCCGCCTACAGTGGCTCTGAGCTGCGTGTCCTTTCCATCTCCAGGAGGTGGCGCTGTCTGGTGCGGAGCTCCCGGGCACCGTGCAAACAGTGGAAGAGGCGATAAAACGGCACCGGGATTTTCTCACCACGATGGAGCTGAACCAGCAAAAGATGCAGGTGGCGGTGCAGGCTGCGGAGGCCCTGCTGAGGCAGGGCAACGTCTATGGGGAGCAGGCCCAAGAGGCCGTGGCCAGGCTGCTGGAGAAGTAGGTCCCCTAGAGCTTCGGGCACGAAAGAGAGGTCTCAGTATACCGGAGGGTGTGGGTGGGTGGGAACCCCCTCCCTCCATCACACTTTGCCGTTTCTCTGCTTCTCTCTAATTTTTATCTAATTCCATATTGTTTTACATTTGACTTAAATGGCTATTTTGTGACAAGATATCAGGAAGTTGTAAACTCAACCCATACACAGGAAAGGAAGTGACACATTTCTCCTGCAAGCCTGCCTGTGGCAGAGGAGAGCTGGACCTGTGGTTCTAAATGATCATGTTGTCCTGGGTGCCCCCACATCTGCCCCACTTTGCTGGGCCCTCTTAGGAGCTCCAAGACCTCTCTAGATCTCAGAGCTAGCAGCCAGGCATAGGGTGTATCCCAGCTTTGCAGATGGAGTGAGATGACCCCTCCGTGGTGGTTGTCAAATATTTTGTCTCAGTCCCTCTCTGACCTCAGCCACCCAGTTCTGTAGGAAGTGTGTCTGTGTGTCTGTCTTTCAGGCTTTTTTTTGTGCCTTATTCTCTGTTTCAGTCACTGTCTGTCTCCACTGCCCTTGTGCTAATCAGGCAAAGCCGTTTACTAAGCATCCACTATATGCCAGCCCTGAACCAAACAGTGCCACTACCTGGGCCTGGTGGTGCACGCACACCTGTAATATTAGCATGCCGGGACACTGAGGCCGAAAGATCACAAGTTCAAGCCCAGTCTGGGCAATTTAGAAACTTAATGGGGTCTTGTCTGAAAATAAAAAAAAACTTAGAAAGGGTGCTGGAGATGTCGCTCAGTGTGAAGACCCTGAGTTCAATCTCCAGGACCACGAAACAACCAAAAAGCAGCTCCATCACTCCTCTAAAATGCCTGTGCTCACGGAGGGATCTTGCTTCCTTCAGACCTAACTCATTCTGTCTTTCACTGTCACTGTGCCTTGCTGCTTGGTGACCCTAGCTTTCTCCTGGGGAGGGGGACCTCTGCCTCTCTGTGGGATGATTTAGGTTGGAAGAGGCCCAGCATCCTGCCCATCTTCCTGTCTCCCAGTGGCAAGCACATCTGTCACTTCACTGCCCGCACCCTGGAGACCTCTACCCCTCACTTCCATTGGGGATTATTGGCACCGGGTTCATCTGAGCCAGGACTGCAGGCCACTGAGGAAACATTGCTGTGGATCGCAGTTCTGGGGGCGCACATGTATAGTCTGGTCCTACTCTCTCCAGGCCTGGACGTTTCCTTCCCCAGCACCTGCATCCACCAGGCTCCACAGAGGGGCCCCAGAGACCATCATTTAATGATTCATTCATTCCACTGCAGTCACTCATTAATCGCTACTTTCATCTCACTATTTATTCACTTGGTCTTCAGTCAGTTGAAGAGACACTGAGCAGAACTCTGCTTCAGGTCCTGCATAGGGCAGTGCTGGACACAGCAGTGACCAATGACGGGGACAGAGCATGAAACTTGCCTCACAGAGGTCTGGTATTATCTGATGAGGATGACCCAGAGGGGTTTGGGCCACGGTGAGAGGGGCACGGGTGGAGGGGTCTGTCTGGGATGGAGTAAGTGCAAGGGGCTGTGGGAATCCATAGCGGTTGTCTGCCCCAGTCTTGGGTGGGGTGTCACTTCCTTGTTTGAGAACACATTTCCTTCTCTGTGTGGGGAGTAGGAAGTGGGACAGAACCATGCAAAGCTGGGGGCTAGTACCCTGGCGTCAGACAGGTCAAGGTACTCTCAGCTTCCACTCCCAACTGAGATTCAGCACAAGCAGCAGGCTTGGGATCTCAGCTTGTCCAGAGCACAGCCCAGCCTGGTGTGCGAGGAATAGCTGCTTTTTTCCCATGTTCCTCAGAGAGGGGAACTGACTGGTTCAAGGTCCTGGCCAGGACATGGCACAGCGGGGATGTGAACCGTCTTGCTCCCTCTGCCTTGCGACAAGTAGAGTGAACCCTCTTCCTGAGGAGCAACGTATCACAGTCTGGTGAAGGCCTGGAGCTTTGAAGGCAGCTCCAGTTCAGAGGCATTTCCTACTTCCTGCACACAGCCTCCATTTACTCCTCTACGCCCTTCCTGCTGCATCCCTCCATCTGCCTCTGGGTGTCTTGAGAAGTGTCTCCCACACTGGCTCTTTAACCCACACCGTGTGTCTATCTCCAGTCCCATTTCCTGCTTTCCTCCCTCTCTTCCTCTCCCTCCATCTGTATGGCTGTTTTCTTCTTCTGCGTCCCCCCCACCCCCGCGGTACCAGGGATTGAACTCAGGACCCCACACTTGCCAGGCAGGCATTTATTCTACTGAGCTATCTCCCCAGCACCTCTTCTGCATCTTAGTCTTTCTCAGACACTTTCTCTCATTTCTTTTTCTCTGCCTCTGGGTCTCTCATTCATTCATTCATTCATTCATTCATTCATTCATTCATTCATTAATTCATTCATCAGATACATGTTGAGCATCTACTACATCCCAGGCCTTTTTCTAGGGCTGAGAGATAGATACAAATGTGAACAAAACAAGCACAAATCCCTGCCCTCAGGAAAGTGACACCCAGTGTGGGGGACAGACAAGATAAAGAATGTACATGGCACGTTGGATACTCTGCCAAGGAGAAAACTGAAGAAGGAAAGACAGACAGTGTTAGAGGGGAGGCTTGCAAAGAAGGTGGCATTTAACTAGGTGTTGAGTGGAGAGCATCCCAGCAGTGCCAGGGGAACCGAGTGTTCAGGATGTAGCAGGGAAGCTCTGTAGGGCCGTGGCAGTGTGGGGGCCACGGTGGCAGGTGAAGAAACGTTTGGGAAAGGCGGGGCATGTATGTGCATGTGTATGTGCATGTATGTACCTGTATGTGCGTGTATGTGCACACGAGCAGGTGCATGTATATGTGGAAGATTGGGATGGACTATAAGAGGATCCCTGGAGAGAGCAGTTTCCTTCCTGAGTCTTGTTGCCTGTATCTCTTTCCTCCGTGGGGGTGACCAGACAAGCACACAGCAGTTGATGTGGGATGACCCCCACTCAGGGCCCTTGTGGCACAGGGCCTGGCACTGCAAGCAGGCGACCAGGCTGCCTGGGGCTGGGGTGATGGGGCCTGGGCAGCCCCCCGGTCACTGAGGCTGGGGCTTGAGCCCGTCTAAGTACTACCCAGTTTCTGCATTTTTCCAGCGCTGTCTCTCCCTATTCCCCACTCTCTTCCTGCCCACGAACAAGGCTGCCGCCTTCTGTCTATGAGGCTGTCTTGTGCTGGTACAATCTTGCTGTCTTTTTGCCTACATGTCCCTCTCTGGGTTGTGCCAGCTCTGACTCCTTCTGTTCAGTTCCCTCCTCTTGCCTGCTTGCTTTCCTACTTACAGCTCTCTCTTCTTCTGTCTCTCACTCCCTCCTCAGTGTCTTTCCTTGTTTCCCTATATTAGTCTCCTCTCAGGGTCTTTCTCTGTGGAGGGCTCTTTTTGTTTCTGGTCCTGGGTATGTCTGTTTTATCTCTCTCACTGGTCTTCATTTTGTCTCTCCTGGTCTGCCTGTCTGTATCTGTTGGCTGTCTGTGTCCCTTTCCAGATGTTTCTGCATCTCTTTTTCTTTCTTCTGTGCCTCTTTCTGCCTCTCTCAAGCCCCATCCCTGATTCTGTCCCACGAATGTTTCTTTGCCTCTCCCCACATTCCCACCTTCGTCTCTCCTCCTCCCTTCCCTGCCCCCACCAACCTGATGCCCTCACAGCCCTGCTGCCAGGGCCTCCCCACTCCTGGGCATCTCCCCAGCCCTTCTCTCCCCATCCCCAGGAGCCAAGAAAACCAGCTTCGGGCCCACCAGTGGATGCAGCGACTACATGACCAGCTTGGACTGCAGCACTTCCTCCGAGACTGCCACGAGGTAGAAACCCCAGCTGGGTTGCGGACAGTGATGTACCCTTTGGTAGGCAGGGAAAGGCTCCCCGTCTAAGGGGGAAGGGACGCCCCGTCTAAGTGGGTCGCGAAGCAACGCTCATCCTGCACCGCCAGGAGGCGCAGAGCCGTTTTCAGTACGCATGCTCTCCAGGTCCCAGTCAGCCCCACCGGGGCTCCAGGGAAGGAGGGCGGGGCTTCGGGTGCCCCTGGCAACCGCGCGCGTCCGCGCCTACGATCCCGCGGGGATCTGCGCTGATCTCACCTTTTTTAGAGATCTGTGAAATGCGCTCTGCTCAAGAAGAGGAACAGAGTTGGGGTGAGGCGAGGGGTTTAGGGTAGACTAGCATCCCATCACTCCTGTCACACGTAGCCTTGAACAAACCCTTTGCCTCTTTAAAGTGGTCCAGGAATGAAGTCTCTTCTTAAGGATGGTCTATACAGACCACAGGGACCGTTCCAAAGCAGAGAGGTTCCAGGCTGTCTTTCTCATTAGACATCCAGGACGCTCCTGCCTCCCCCCTGCTTCCCGGTGTTCCACTGAAAATGTTTTAGACCACATTAGAGATGACCCAGTAAATACCCTCCTAACCTCCAAAGAGAGTCCTGGCCCCCAGCTCCTCCATCTGTGTAACCCAAGGTCCTCCCCTGTTTCCTTCAACCAAAGATGATTCACAAACCATATCCCTGCCCACCTATCACCCCAACTATACTATATGTTCTGACTCTACACAGGAAACACTGTTGTCCCATGTGTGAAGTAGACAAGGACCTCCAAACCCCTTGCCTACTGGAGACTGTTCTAGACTGAAGATGTTCCAGGCCTCGTTCCAGGTCTCCCATGCTCCCGACATGGCAGTCAGGAACCCGAGCCTCGTTCCCTGAATGATGGTTCAGGAGCCCCCGCCCTCGCCAAGCTGAGGTTGCATGGGACGCAGGCCCTTCTCTCGCCCTTAGCTTTGGTCCCGGAACCCTTTCCTACCCTGTGAGGCTGTTCTGGACCAAGGAGCTAAAATATGAGATGGCGCAGAACTCCCCCCACCCTAAGCCCGGGGAAGGTGGTGATTCCTTCTCGACCAACTAGGGCCGCGCAAGGAGGCGGGCGCGGAGGCAGGCAGGGGGCGCGCGCGGGCGGGCGCGCTGCCGCGGCGCGGGGGCGAGGGAGGGGGCGCGCGCCCGCCGGAACCACAGCCGTCGCCGCTGCTGTCGCCGTCGCAGTGGAGGGGCGAGTGCTTGCTTGCCCGCCGCAGGGACGCCCCGCCAACGCCGCTGTTGCTCCAGGTCTGGAGGGCGCCCAGGGGAGGGGGCTGGTGCGCGCCTTCACCGAGATGGGAGGGGGAAGGGGGCTTAGGCGCGTGCTCGCGCCGCCGGGACCGCGGGAGGGAGGGGCGGGGGCGGCGCGGGGGCGGGAGCGGCGCCGGGACCCCCGCCCTGGGGGAGGGGCGAGGAGGCCGGGAGCTGTCCGCGGTGCTGGTGCGGGCGGGACCAGGACCAGGGGCCGGGCCCCAGGGGAGGGAAGCAGAAGAGGGAGGACTTCCTCCACGACTCCTAGCGTATTCTAGGTTTGACGTGGCAGTAAAGGGGATCGAAACCTCTTTAGACAGCTCTTCTCTGGGTCGTGAGGGTGTCTGAGGTTTCCCTGCAGTTGGGGGAGTCTCAGCCCTTCGGGTCTCACATCTTTGGTTGTTGCGGGGGTCTGCCGGTCTTGGCTAATGGGGTGAATCACTTTCGGGCGATGAAGGTCTTGGGCTAGCGCTAGATCTGAGTGCTCTAACTTGGGGGAGGGCTTTTACTTGTTAGGGGTCTAATGAGAGGGGCGCAATCACTTTGGGGGGCTTTACCTTGAGGACGTGGTACCATCTCATTTAGAGGGTTTGCCTTCACTGTTGGCTGTAGTTGCCAATATTCTTTTCCCTGCATGTTGGAACCGGCGAATTGAGTTGGGGGATGCAGCCCTTGACTTGGCACTAGTGTGTGTGTACATGAGAATGTGAGACCTTTCTGAACCCCCGGGAAACACATACTAAGAGGACCTGGGGTGGGGTTTGGCCAGCTTGGGATTTGTCCTTGGCTATGACTGCATTTGCCTCCCAGGACCGCTGAGCTGGAGTCTGTGGTGTTTTTTTTTTTTTTTTTTTT